TGTATGCTAAAATTGTGTGATAATGAATTTTAACGTTTCCAAGTGCATTTATAAGTTACACAGAGCTTCTAAGACAGGGGTAACAAACCTATAGCATATGTGGCACATTAGGAGAACCAATTGACATGTAATGTATCATAAAATTTCGGTTTATCACCCATCTTTTTCGATAATCCTTTCGGTTTAACACCTGATCATCCTTTTCTAAATCAGCTTCTTTACATTTATTCCAATTAAAGCTTTTCATTTCATTTCTTTAAATATCATTATGTAAAGTTCAAAACTACAGTGCGCACAAATATTTTTAAAGATAATTATACTCACTATACAGTATAACACACGGATTCAAAAAGGTTTGCTGTCCCTGTTCTAAGACATGAAAAAATGAAGAGAACCATTAACAACTCCCTGGATGATCTGATTACTTCATTAATCATATATATACATACATACATACGATTAAAAACAAATTAATTTAAAGCATTTATACTAATTCTTTGAATTAATTATTACATTTAATCAAATTAATGGATATCCCAATACATTCATTAACTGTGACCTATTAAATAAATTACATTTATTCATTATTTCAACTTCCTTAAGTAAACCTTTTATCTGGCAAGTGCATTAGATGTTATCAGCTACTTTCAACAGTCACGAACAAATCATCATCAATACCATTTTTCCACTTACACGAACAAGTCCAAATTTAGAATTGTTGTAACTATCAGCTATAGCATATCAGAAATCCTTCCCTACACTATATAAATATAAAATAAGAGGCCTTAAGTTTTAGCTTGTTATATATAAACTTAAGCTTTGTATATAAATTGTGTAATCTATGTATTAATCTAATCACAATGATTGTTTTTAAGTATTTTTTTAATTGTATGTTTATACAATTTGTTTTTTTCTTTCATATTTTATTTCACTATTATTAGGGGTCTTGTTGTTCATACAGGGAGCAATCTATAATCTCATGACACTTCCTATTGTAAATGTAATAAATAAATAGACTTGTTCATGATTAGATTAACCTACTTTTTATGTAAAGACTTTTATACAAACACAATAAGTTACTTCAATTTTACATCTAATTTATATTAAATAAATACATTCATCACATAAAAAACCTACACTAAATTTCTAAGCAGCTTCTTTCCTTTATCAATTTCAATTCTCCCATAAACTAAGTTTGACTTAAAATACAACATGATTTAATAATAATAAAACTTCTTCATATTAAATAGGAATTGCAATTATGATTTTAAATCATATCTCCATTATTATTGCTACAATTTATCCGAAATATCATTATCATTTATTTATCATCACTTTTTAATTTTATATTCAAAGTTTTATGATTAAATTCAGGAAAATCTAATTTCCATCAAATATGTTCTTGCCTTGATGAAGCCAATGTTAATGGACAAGGTACTTTTACATTGTATTATGTTCTAGTACTGATTCCCAAAATGGATGCTACCACTCCTTGAGGTTGGTAGAAGACTCAAGGTAGTGCTGGAAGGCAAGGGGCAGTAGGAATGTTGGATAACAAGGGAAAAAAAAATTCATTTTGAAATAAAAGTAAAAAAGTATATTTACAAAATAGGGTAGTCTGAAAAGTTTGGGAAACACTGCTCTAGAATTATGATAACATGACCATTAGTAGTGCCAATGAACACAGATGGCAAATTAAGCCAACATTGGAGCATCAACTATAATCTTATTTTGACCTTGATGACAATAAATGCTAAGTGATTCATTTAATGAATCAGCATTATAGGTCATCAAGATCATCGTAGAGATTTACTGATTAAGATAGATTGAGGTTGAGATAGTTACTGACGTTTATTGTCATCTTAATTTTACTACTTGCACATATAAATGTATAAAGATAAGCTGCCAGACAAGATGAAAGATACTGTACAAAAAACCAACTTAATAGACCGTCACTAATAAAAATCTATTATCAAACAACGGAAAAATATAAAGTTGTAATAGATAAATGATAGTATTTATATAAAATTTCTTTAATGTTGATAAACAAAAAATATAGAATTAAAGACCTATTACATTATATAAATAAAAATAATATAGAAAATGAAACTCGAAAATAAAGAAGTTTGATGCATTTATGCTAAATTTAAAATGACAGCACTGTGGTGACTGCTGGTTTAAAACTAGAGAAATATTTTCTATACAATATCAAGTTTAGATCACATCAATCACAGAAATCTATGATTGATGCAGTTTAAATAAAATTTGACAATATCCAGAAAATATCAGAAAGATTTCAAATGTTACAAAAGAAAAATAAATACAAAAGGACAATAAATTTTTCCTATAGAGTATAGACTATTCATACTTTTTAAATCCATTTGTTTACTTATCAACAATGTTTTTAACCTACAAATATATTTGAGTAAACAGAAAGCAATTAATTACCAAAGGTATCTATTTATTAAAGCTAAATTGATCATTTTAACATATGAAATTCATTAATAAACTATTTTCAGAATTAATTTAATTTAATAAAAACTGAATTAAATAAATCTTAAATGAAAATAATATAAATAACAACCTGCAAAGAACCGTATAATAATTTAAAATTAATATTTTATAAAATTCTAAAACAAACAGAAAAATCATTAAATTTCTTTATAAAGCTGATTATTCTGTAACAGACTGAATAACTGACATAATAATTATTATTTATCTCATCCACTGGAGCATCAATCTATACGGAGGTGATGTTTTTGAAAATAAATTTTAATTTATGTACTTTTGACAAGATTCATTATAAACATTGTGGCTGTTTGTTGTAAAATAAATTACTAGAAATTATTATTGAAAAGAAATTAAATTTACTTAATTGAAATGTAAACTTTAATTATCAGATTACTTTTAAAATGACTTAACACAATGGTGATCTTTTGTCTTATTTTCTGTCTGGATAACAATTTAAGTTAACGATAACATTGTTTAAAAAGCAATAAAAATATTTATTTTCTCATGTGTATTTAATGGAATTTAGTTATATATTTAGCAATTTTTGAAATAATTTAAACCAGTCGTCTTTCTCAACCTTTTGTTTGGAGTTTTTTTTCTAATAATGCTGCAAAAAAATTTAAAATAACTTACTTTATAGTTATATTTATATCCAAAATCATTTGTCTAGTAGTATTACATTCCTGCGTGTCCAGTGCAATTCCAATGTTTATTGCACCAAAAAACTAATTTGTGTCCTCTGGGGTTAACATTGCCTCATTGAGAAATGCTAATTTAGACAATTCAAAGATAGCCTAATTTATGTTTCTATAATTAAGAACAATTATGTTTATGATAACTATAAACATTCAGTTTATCAGATTTTATGCCACTTATAAGTGCCAACTGGTTTAAAATTTGAAGAAAACATTCTAGTCCGTGTAAAAAAAATTATGCAAAAAGTCAGCATCCAAAAAATAAGATATATAAAGTTATATGAATTATTAAGCACTAAGTTTTGGCATTTTGGAGGACTTATCACGTACTATTAGTGCTCATTAATTCTTATATTGTAATATAAAGACGAAAAGCAAATCAATAGTATTGTAGCTTATAACANTAATATACAGGTATTTAAAAATCTATGTATTTTTGACTTCGGGAGATGCTGAGGGTAGCACCGGAAAGAGAAGAATCAGTGAAATACTCGATCCATCTTTAACAGAAGAGCTGCATCTTCATCAAAAATTTTTAAATGAGCGCGAGCCCAGAATTAAATGTTCTGAAGCCGCAATTTCCTTCGTTATACTTCAGATAGTTTTCAAACCTTCCAGCTATTCATTTCCTGTTTTTACTGGCAGATAATAAATTAAGAAACCAAATAATGATATTAAATTTTAGATAAAACTTATATTTTCATGTCCACCATTCTCAAATTCTTTTAAGAGCTTAACAAATCACACACAAACTGTTGACAAAAATTACAAACTAACAGTCCATTAAAACATGCAAAATTTAAGCCAGACAACTTGAGATTCCGAAATCATCAGTAATTTATATATTATCACAAACATCAAGATGTAAAATATTAATTTTATACAATATATAATACTATATTTATATATAATTAGGTATATAGTTATCACAAAAGCTTCTAAAATATTTAACAAACATTTATTTTTTTTTAATATCAAAAAACCATGACATTTAGATAAAACTTAAACATTGCAATTCGAAAATGGCACACACCGAAATTGCATAATTTATGGTGTATATATATATTAATAGAAACAATTAGATGGGGACAGGATGAATAGAGGATGACCGTAAAGCATTAATTGATGGTCGGCGCAGAAAAATACATATCAACGATGATGTTAGTAAAATTCGGAAACAAGTGTATAATCCAACGGCTTTCATTCTAATCTTACAAATATAGAAAAATTTATAAAAATGCATTTTATTTTCCACAAATAGATGACACCTGACATTTTGGTTTTTATTACCTCTTTAATATTTAATTATATCCACATATATTAAATGTATTATTATAATGATATGTAATGTGTAGTTTAATTATGTGTCCAATTTTATAAAAGGGGGTGTAAATGTCGGTGAACACTTTCTATCTTATAAATAAGAATCACAGATAATTTTATAAAATTATTAAATTAAACGTAATGTAAAAAACAAAATCATTAATTAAAATTTTAAAAAAAAAAAGTAAAAATAATTTTCTTAACTAATTTTTAACTTTAAAAAAATATATTTAAAGATTATCTGTTTAAAATTTAATCTCTAATTCAATTAACTTACTATAAATATTTGAAATAAATCATTTAATTAATATTTTTTGATAAATTATAAAGAAACAAATATGACCATTTAAGTAAAGAAATCAATAATGCTGATGTTGTATTTATGCAGAATTATTTTCAACATTTTAAAAGAAATTTAAACAACTTTCCAACTTTAAAGTATATATTTTTTTCCTTTTGAGATGTTTCATTTCATTTGTCCAATTGGTGACTTTGTCTTTTCAATTTCTTCCTGATTTCATATTCCTAAAAAAAAAATAAAAAAACAAAATAACTTGCTTAATATTATTGATTTAAAACTTAATATTATTTCTAAAAAAAATACTAAAATTTATTAAATAACACTTAAAATTTAAACAATTTATAGTGTAGGCACACAGAGAGAATGTCGAATAAAGTTTTTAAAAAATTACTATAAAGACAAAGCTGATAGGAAGAAGGACAGGGGAAGACCAAAGAGAATATGGTACAATGATGTAAAGAGAATGAGAGAAGAGTGTAGTTATGACGGGAAAAATGGAAAGACTTCTGGATGATCAGAAAGCATATCAGTGCCCTTAATTGTATGAAAATTAACATTGAAAACATGTAAGGAAAAACACTCAATGACCAGCAATGCATTTAATACATAAATGAACATTTTGATAATCTTCATCAACCATTATCAGTTTACCATCTCTTGAGTTAGTCTGATGATCATCTTCAGGATAATCTAACAACGCATACCTTCAGTAACCATTGATAACCAGATTATATTAATGATGATGAAAAGGATCTGTTCATATATTGCTAGATGATACAAGTTGTTTATTTTTACATATTCAGTGAATAACTAGTTCAAGATAATTTGACTGATAATTTCATCTGAATGGCCACATTTTATTTTATTAATGGTGGAAAATCCAGTATATTTTTTCAGTTTTTGTCTTGTAATTTTCAATTATTTCTTAAAATGTGATATTTTTTTCCTCATAAAACAACTATCAAAGATTGAGATCAAAAAATGCTAAGCTAAGATCAAATTTTATTTAAAGAAATTATTTTTTTTAATTACAGAATTGCAAAAAATTAAAACTGGATGACTAGAATAGAACAAAATCTTTGAGCTATTAATTATAACTAAATACATCCACATCTTAAATCTCCAGCAATACTTTAATGATATTTACTAATGTTTTTGATGTGATTGTAGGAAAGGAAAGTTCTGTTTAAGCCATACATTATCAACTAAATCTCAGGAGGTTGTTAACAATTCATAGGGGCAACCTTGTCCCATCGGAAAAATCTGAAGTTTATAAAATTTGTATGTTTATTACTACTAATAATGCCAACATAGTAGAACCCTGATTATTTGAGATAATGTGGACCAATGCTATCTCAGATAACTGAAAACTTGGATTGAGAATTACAAATATAAAAAGGTTTATATGATACATCACTTTTATGCTTCTTTTTATACCTTCTCTCTCTCTCCTCAACGAATGGTTGGTGGACAAACATGGATGTGTGCAGTCTTATAGCTTCTCTCTTTACTTAGCTAGCTGTTTTATCTGTTAGTAAGGACTTTTCCATAATAACTTGTTGAGATATTCCACTCTAGGTCTTCCACGTCGCCTTTTGCCCGCTATCTTTCCTTCCAATAAAATATTCATCCATTCCGAGTGTCACATTAGGTGGCCACTCATGTCACTTCTTTCCTCTATCATTCTCAAAATCTGTCTCTTCTCTGTTACCTCTTTCAAAACATCCTCATTCGTCTTTCTCTCAATACATGACACTCACATCATTCTTTGCCAGCACCACATCTCAAAGGCCTCCAGTTTTCTTTTCTCTGCTGTTTGGAGTGTCCATGTCTCCCAAACAGTACAATGCTATGTTCCAGATTAAACTCTTAATTAATCACTTCCTAACATTGATTGATATATTTTTCGATGTTAACATCCATCTATCGTTTCCTATAGAATGCCTGTTTTGCTTGGGCTATTCTTGCTGTAACATCTCTTTCACTCCTTCCGTCTGAGATAATTACACTTCCTACATACATGAACTCACTGACTTCTAATTTTTCACTGTCCAAATAGATGTTCATTCCTCCTTGTTCCTTTTTTGTTGAACATCTCATTATCTTCATGTTTTTCCTATTTATTCTCATCCCAATCTTTTAAACTGTTCATTTAAATTTTCAAGAACAATCTGTAGATTGTCTACATCTTCCACTATCATTGCGATGTTGTTAGCAAATCTTATTGTGCTGTACAACTTTCCATTCACTTTTATACCTTTTGTATTAGTAACATAGAATTCTTTCGTTGCCTCTTGTATGTATATGTTGAACAATAGTAACAATAATCCAGAAACTTGTCTCACTCCTTTTATACCTTATTGAATTTAATTATATATAAGAAACAACACTTTTCAGAATAAAAATGTTTATTATTATTGTCACATTTTAATATGAATGGTTTGTCTCATATTAGTTAAATGATAAAAAGTAACAGAAACAAATCATTTTAAACTTTTAAAAATTGAAGTACAGTATAAGTAAAGTAGCATATTCACTTACAGGTCAGATAATGCAGGATCTTCCAACATGTTCATGTTGCTTGCTACTTACATAACTTAGGACTAGGTAACTAGTGTGCAAGGCAATAGGACTCTACACTTTATACATTATACTACAATTAAGCTTTATACTTGTGTGTTAAAAAATCAGCTGGTCTTTTCTTCCAAAATCTCTTAATTAACAGGTAAATGTGCTTTTTTCAAATAACAACTATGGTTAAGAGCATGATCATATTATCTTTATATATATGCCAGAATTTTCTGTCTATAGTCATCTAAGCAAACTGGTTGGACTGACGAGAAACTAGAGTCCAAAATGCATTTCCAATGTTAATATAAGCATATATATACACTTTTGGATCTGATCTCTGACTCCATTTTCATCACTTGACCTACACGGTGTGATTAGTCTGAAAAAATTGGCCAAATTTAGGCCACATCAAGATACAAAATTAGGCCCCATCATTAATACTTATTCAAATTTGTTGAAATTTTCCATTGGTCAGGTTTCTAACAATCAAAAGATTTCTCACAGAATAATAATAAACACATTTGTTATATTGGACACACACAAAAATTACATATTAAAACAGTATCATAAAGTATATATGAACAGCACATACCACATGTATATCCTTATCTTCAGGGACAAAGTGCAGTGAATAATAACCAGCTTTTGGAGGTCATATGACCTTACTTTAAGGCAATACTGTACCTATTTGTTTTTTATACAGTACATTCCATTAGAGAGCATTTAGAAAGCATTTTGAAGTATGGATATTCACATCTTTTCAGTGTGGTCTCCTACTGAATCCTAGGAAGAAGTGATATGATGGGTAAATAAATGAAAACCAATATTATGTATGCTAAAATTGTGTGATAATGAATTTTAACATTTCCAAGTGCATTATAAGTTACACAGAGCTTCTAAGACAGGGGTAACAAACCTATAGCATATGTGGCACATTAGGAGAACCAATTGACATGTAATGTATCATAAAATTTCGGTTTATCACCCATCTTTTTCGATAATCCTTTCGGTTTAACACCTGATCATCCTTTTCTAAATCAGCTTTTTTACATTTATTCCAATTAAAGCTTTTCATTTCATTTCTTTAAATATCATTATGTAAAGTTCAAAACTACAGTGCGCACAAATATTTTTAAAGATAATTATACTCACTATACAGTATAACACACGGATTCAAAAAGGTTTGCTGTCCCTGTTCTAAGACATGAAAAAATGAAGAGAACCATTAACAACTCCCTGGATGATCTGATTACTTCATTAATCATATATATACATACATACATACGATTAAAAACAAATTAATTTAAAGCATTTATACTAATTCTTTGAATTAATTATTACATTTAATCAAATTAATGGATATCCCAATACATTCATTAACTGTGACCTATTAAATAAATTACATTTATTCATTATTTCAACTTCCTTAAGTAAACCTTTTATCTGGCAAGTGCATTAGATGTTATCAGCTACTTTCAACAGTCACGAACAAATCATCATCAATACCATTTTTCCACTTACACGAACAAGTCCAAATTTAGAATTGTTGTAACTATCAGCTATAGCATATCAGAAATCCTTCCCTACACTATATAAATATAAAATAAGAGGCCTTAAGTTTTAGCTTGTTATATATAAACTTAAGCTTTGTATATAAATTGTGTAATCTATGTATTAATCTAATCACAATGATTGTTTTTAAGTATTTTTTTAATTGTATGTTTATACAATTTGTTTTTTTCTTTCATATTTTATTTCACTATTATTAGGGGTCTTGTTGTTCATACAGGGAGCAATCTATAATCTCATGACACTTCCTATTGTAAATGTAATAAATAAATAGACTTGTTCATGATTAGATTAACCTACTTTTTATGTAAAGACTTTTATACAAACACAATAAGTTACTTCAATTTTACATCTAATTTATATTAAATAAATACATTCATCACATAAAAAACCTACACTAAATTTCTAAGCAGCTTCTTTCCTTTATCAGTTTCAATTCTACCATAAACTAAGTTTGACTTAAAATACAACATGATTTAATAATAATAAAACTTCTTCATATTAAATAGGAATTGCAATTATGATTTTAAATCATATCTCCATTATTATTGCTACAATTTATCCGAAATATCATTATCATTTATTTATCATCACTTTTTAATTTTATATTCAAAGTTTTATGATTAAATTCAGGAAAATCTAATTTCCATCAAATATGTTCTTGCCTTGATGAAGCCAATGTTAATGGACAAGGTACTTTTACATTGTATTATGTTCTAGTACTGATTCCCAAAATGGATGCTACCACTCCTTGAGGTTGGTAGAAGACTCAAGGTAGTGCTGGAAGGCAAGGGGCAGTAGGAATGTTGGATAACAAGGGAAAAAAAAATTCATTTTGAAATAAAAGTAAAAAAGTATATTTACAAAATAGGGTAGTCTGAAAAGTTTGGGAAACACTGCTCTAGAATTATGATAACATGACCATTAGTAGTGCCAATGAACACAGATGGCAAATTAAGCCAACATTGGAGCATCAACTATAATCTTATTTTGACCTTGATGACAATAAATGCTAAGTGATTCATTTAATGAATCAGCATTATAGGTCATCAAGATCATCGTAGAGATTTACTGATTAAGATAG